CAAAGTCTCCGATCCTGGTATGCTCCAGATGGGAAGAATGAGTAAGAAGGATGGACAAAGTGGCTCTTTCTCAGCCGGGTCAGTATTCAAAGAACTCTTCCAAAAGTCCCACATAGAATATCCACTTACATACCATTGGTTATCTGTAGTTGCAAGGGAGGGCGGATGGAGTGGTTTTAAAATAAGCCCCCAATTTTTTTGTCACTCCTACTACCATAATGTGGGGTCCTTCATACTGGCTAGCCTCAAAAAAAAAAAAAAGGAAAGAAAAGAAAAAAGGAACATAATGTAAGGTCTTGACCTCAGTAATTCATTCATAACCAAGAGAATGTGGCAAAAGGGATGCTGCATGACTTCTCAGACCAGGTCAGAAAAGTCAAGGTGGCTTTCACCTGATGGGCTGAAGGGGCACCTGCTTGTGGAGGCCTGAGCTGCCGTGGGAGAAGTCTGGCCACTCTGAGAATGTCCAGGATTCCCAAGGAGGCTATGAGCAGGTCCTCCAGGTGATTCCAGTCCCTAGCTGTCAAGGTTTCCTAGACATCATGGAACAAAGACAAACCATGACCATTGAGACCTTTCCAAACTCTTGAACTACAGAAACCACAAGCACACACACATGGAACGGTGGTTTTAAGTTGCTAAGCTTTGGAGTAATTTGCTTCACAACAAAAGCAACTGGAATTATTGGGAAATGGAGCCTTTTAGATATTCATATTGCTAGCCTGAATTGAGTCAGGAGTCTTTGATTTATTTATTTTATTTATTGATTGATTGATTTTTTAAAAGATGACCAGTAAGGGGATCTTAACCCTTGACTCGGTGTTGTCAGCACCACGCTCTCCCAAGTGAGCCATGGGCTGGCCCAACACTTGTTATTTTCTGATTTTGATTATAACTATACTAAGTGTGTGTGCAGTGGTATATCTCACTGCAGTTTTGATTCCCATTTCCCTGATGACTAATGATGTTGAACATCTTTTCATATGTTTATTGGCCATTTGTATATATTTTTTTGGAGGAATGTCTATTCAAATCTTTTGCCCATTTTCCCCCCTTTGTCCATTTTTGAGTTGATTTTTATCATTGAGTGTTTAATACCATGGGTTCTCATTTCCTTCATATCTCTATTTAGTAAATCCAAAATCTTCCCACGGTTTAAGATGCTTGTGCACTATGTAATTAATTATATCTTCCCGTGTAATTTGGTAATCACTGTAGTTTGGCTCACTCAGCATCCCACTCATTCCCTTTCTGGTACACCTTCTTCAATTGGAAAGCTAAAAACTACATTTCCCAGCCTCCCTTGTGGCTACATGCACATGTGACTAGGTTTTTTTTTTTTAAAGATGACCGGTAAGGGGATCTCAACCCTTGGCTTGGTGTTGTCAGC